ACGGGTGCTGAGAGCTCGATTGCTCGTGTCGTGCTTCTTGTGTCAATCTCGATTGATCGGTTTTTGTCGGACCCCCCCCGCTTCATGGGACGCCCTGCTTTCCCTTTTTATAGGCCAAGGGAAAGCACGGGTTACAGCGGAGGAAAAGAGAAGAACGAGAGAGGGAGAAAGTCCTTCAGGATCGCCGGGCCCTTCTTATCCTTTATGCGGGTCCCGCCGACCCTATAGATGTCAACAGGGACAGCTCCGCGTCGTGGCCTTGTCCATTACTAGTGCCATGCGCAGACGTCGTCTGTCGGTCATCGCGTTCCATTCCATCGCAGCGGACGTCGTGGTGAGCTAACGCGCCTGTCAGCGTTCATACGGGGGTTAGGCAAAACAGCATCGGTACGCCTGACGCTGTTCTTGATGTGAATCCTCAGGTATGGCCCGTCATGGCCACGGGTTACATCGGGGCATGTCGGTCTCTTCCTTGGTGTCAGAGTTTTGACCCAGGCCCATACGTTTGGACCTGGAGTGGTTGGCGGTGGTATGGGTCCCCGTCGTGCGAGGCGGAGCCCACGGCCTCGGGGTCGGGCGAGGCGGAGCCCGCCCCAGAGGTCGGGCGAGGCGGAACACAAACCCCAGGGTCGGGCGAGGCGGAGCCCGCCCCCAGAGGTCGGGCAAGACGGAGCACAAACCCAAGGGTCGGGCGAGGCGAAGCCCATGGCCTCGGGGTCGGGCGAGGCGGAGCCTGCGGCCTTAGGGTCGGGTGGAGCTGTAGTCGCGCTCTTGACTGCTCGGGTGAATCAATGTTGATGGTCATTAGCTCCTCCTCTTCAGGTACCCTAGTATTGGTCCCCGACAACGCTTCTTGGGAATGGAGGTCTCCTTGCTGCTTGGGAATGGAGACTCGTCAGTGTGTGGCGTTCCGCGTTCACCGGTGTAGAGCTCGCTGGTAGCGTGGAGCTTGCCGCTCCAGTGGAGAAGGCCGCGACAGGTCCGGTGAAGAAGGCCACGGCGGGCCGCTCAGGTGGAGAAGATAGACCGCGCGCTGGAGAAGGCCGCGGTGGATAGGAGGCGCCATGGGGAGGGAGGAAGACGGGCAGCCGCGCTAGGGCGCGGTGGAGATGCGGGCCGGTGGCCGGCGCCCGAACACCGTGAAGAACACCGAGGTTGCTTGTGGCGGAGAGCATCACGACGCTTAGCTATGGAGAGCCTTCTAGAGAAGATGAGTGGACGAGAGGCTTCTAGAGAGGACGAGTAGACAAGAGGATATGATGTTGGGCCGTTGGGCTAGTGTGTCGTGGGCCCATGAACGGCGGTGTCCGAACCATGTGACGACGGGTGTAAGCATTTCGGTTTTCTCTTAGCGTCCTCTCTCTCAACATTTCATTCCTACCAGCGATGGTGCACGGACATACCTATATGCTCTGCGGGTGTGTCTTTGCATTGCATGGCCCACGTGAAGATCCGACCATAGCTAAGCGCCCACGCTAGTGATCTTGCTCTGCAAATCCATTGTGCAATGGAGCCGATGTGCGACGTGGAGGAGACTTTGACGGCCCCACGATCGCAAGCGCCACGTGATATATCATCATCCGCGTATGGAAACTAAGATTAACAGAGGCGTTAAAACTAGGATTTAACTTTTTTGTTACCGACTCTAATAGTTAGTGTAGAACTAGTCCGCCTAGTAATGAATATATATCGATACGGTATGGTTGAATAAAGTTAGAAAAGTTTGAGTGAAGACAAAAAAAAAATCGCTATAATAGATTCGAGTTTTAATTATGATCGACACCGTACCCGTGATGGATCCAGCAAGCCACCACTGCCCACAGGACACAAATACAGGTTCTGCCTTTCACTACAAGAAAAAGCCATATTAACGACGGGATATGTGGTCGTTCAAAGTCTAAATGTGGTCGTTAGTAGTTATTAACAACCACAAAATTGTGGTCGTCCATGGTCGTTAAAAGCTCCGTCATTAATACAATTAACGACTACATAATATTTCCCGTAGTTAACTTTTCAATGACCGAACAACATGTGGTAGTTGATAGTAGATTTGTAACGACCACATTTCTAATAACAACGACCACATTTTTCATCGTTGATATTTTTACACCATTTATCATGAGGCACTGTAACGACCATGCTTTAGTAATAACGACCACATGTTTTGTGATCAGTACTATTTTAGACCACATTTATATTGATAGTTTTTTTCACATTGGCTACTTATTTATAACACCAACCACCACTTGACACCATATACAATGACATATTTTTCACTGCAGAGAAAATACAATTAATAAACTTGCAACAGCAAACAATTATTATTTAACCAATTTGTCAATACATAAAGATATACCTTTGCAAAAAAATCGCTATAATAATTCGAGTTTTAATTATGATCGACACCCTACCCGTGATGGATCCAGCAAAGCCACCACTGCCTACACGACACAAATACAGGCTCTGCCTCTGATCATCTCGCCGTCGCCGTCTCATTGGCACCACCTACACCTATGCGTGTCTCGCCCTTGCCCATTCATTCGTTGCTGATGCGCCGGCGGCGCCGGCGCCGCGTGGGGCAAACAAACAAAAGTTGCAACCATATACGTATTGTACTGCAACAAGACACACATGCAAGGCATATAGCCATATACACATACACACAAGCATTTATGTCAACGACGACGACATGCGTCGTGCATCCTTCCCTGGCCGGGCAGACAGAAAGCCAGGCAGAAAAAGACAGGCAGGGCAATGCTTGAGGAGGCGGCGGCCGGCATGGGTCGGTCGTCGGTGGACGGTGCTGGCCGGGGGCTGCAAGCTGGTCGGAGGGCAATGCTTGAGGAGGAGCGCTCTAGCTAGCTGGTTGGCCTGCTGGACCCTGCTGCTGCCACCAGCACGACCCAGCCGTCGACGTGGCACTGCCTGCGCCGCGAGCTCCGGCAGGAAGATGCAGTTGTCGCGGCCACGTAGGCGGACTAACGACCGCTCACCCCGGAGTGTTTAGATGGAACAGACAACGGACGGATCGGAGTGGTTGGTGGCCAGGGCATTGTGAAGGAACAGGGGAAATGGCAGTGGCCAGGGCGTGCGCTTTTACCAGTCGTATACGTGGAAAAGCCTGAGACGAGTTTCACGAGTGCTAACTGCTACGTGCTTCACCTCGCGGCCACAAGACGTAAAAACACCAGTTTAGTCCAACTGGCCTGTTATTATTGTGAATGAACTAGAATAAAATGCCCGTCGTACCCTCCTTACCAACGCACATTGGGTGTGAGTGGCGTTGTCAGCTGCATGACTGTGCGGTGGTAAATAGTAACAACATTTGTAACTTTATGTTGTAGAAATGTATTCTATGATTAATCTAGCTAGTAATATGTGTAACACAACATAAACTTGTACCAGGATGTTTGGTTGTCTAGCGAAGCGAACTTTGCTTAGCCTTACTTCACAATACGAAGTCACCACAGGTGTCTCGTTGTCGATGGGACGTCGCCTACCATTGAAATGGTGAAACCATATTGTCATTAAATTCTAGAATAAATCCAGAAAAATACGAGCATTGCAAAATCGAGGACTTAAACCCGAGTGGACAGATTCCACTATAAGGAGCCCAACCAATTAACTGATCTATGATTAGTTCGCGGACGAGGCAGAGCTTGAATCCACAGGAGAGCAAAACTCTCTCTCCCTCTCTCGTGCCAGCAACAACGTATGTAAAACAGAAATGCTATACAACACATGTGTGTTTTATCACAAAAAAACACATGGATTTTAGTCCATCGGATCGTTGCCTCGGTTTGTCCGTGTTCGTCAGATCTGCGTCCGTCAGGCAGTGCGCTTTCTTATGTCGAACGACCCATGACACGACGCGACGACCCATGACGCGACACCAACAGTGCACCAACAGCACAAGCAGCGCAGCACCAACACCGGCCACGGGACCACGATGCGACGATCCATGACGAAAGGGCAGGCAATGGAACTAACCCCTCTGTATTTTGTCCTTCCATAAAAATAAATTATTTTCTATGATATGTGATTTGTGATATGTGGATCTGTGATCTTGTGATTGTCTTAAGATAGAAGAAGGATGAAAGCTATTGGATCTTAATCTTATAGTAAAAAAAATCATGTGTTAAAATTATATAAAACACATGCTTGTACAGTTAAGGGACTCACCTAAAAACTAGCCAGCACCAACAGGCTACGACGTAACAACTCTGTCGATCAGCAATCAAAACATATGCTTAGGCCTTGTTTAGATTATAAGTTTTTTCACTTTCTCTCCATCACATCAAATCTTTGACATATGCATAGAGTATTAAATGTAGATAAAAAAAAACTAATTACATAGTTTGATTGTAAATTACGAGACGAATCTTTTGAGCCTAGTTAGACCATGATTGGACAATAATTATCAAATACAAATAAAAGTGTTACAGTGCCAAATACTGATTCCTAACACTCATCTAAACAAGACCTTAGCTCCAAATTCTTGTTGGGTAAGACTGGCTAGCTATAGGTAGGCTCGCTTTTCCATAGAATCGTCCAAATTAAACGGCCCCGTACCGTTGTTGTCTATCTTGAAAATTTCATCTTGATTGGCGGATAAATATGGCTGGTGTTGATTTATTACAAAAGAAAAATATTATATCATAGCTGATAAGTCTGGATGTAGCCGCTGATAATTTAAAGGGGCAATCTCGTCTTCTCAGCTAACGAACACGTGATGTTGTGCCCCCCGGACCCCCAGCTACCTCGCTCCCTTACCAATACATTACAGTACACACAATGCCTGCCGGGTGCCGCTCGCTGCCACCATCTCCCTTTATATAAGGCAAACGTTCACAACTGGCTTCCCTCATCTTGAAAACTCGTCGTCGCCCTCGCTCCCCAGCCATTAATTTCCTTCTTCTCTTCGACCCACCGATCAACAAGGACACACACACAAGTCGTGGGCGTGCAGGCGGCCACCGTGCAAGCCAACCGCCGACGGCATGGAGAAGAGCACTGGCGGCGCTAGTGGCGGAGAGGCGGCGGAGGAGGCGAAGGTGCCTCTGCTGCAGCCACGGGCGGCGGTAGGAGGAGGAGGAGACAGCAAGGCGGGGGCGGAGGAGGAGGAAAGGGAGGCGGCGGCGGCGGCGGAGGCGGAGTGGTCGTCGCTGCCGCTGCGGCGGCGCGCGTGGGAGGAGAACAAGAAGCTGTGGGTGGTGGCGGGCCCGTCCATCTTCACGCGCTTCGCCTCCTTTGGCGTCACCGTCATCAGCCAGGCCTTCATCGGCCACATCGGCGCCACCGAGCTCGCCGCCTACGCACTCGTCTCCACCGTCCTCATGAGGTTCAGCAACGGCATCCTGGTACGTAGTGCTAACAAATCCATCCGTTCTGCATTCCAGCTGTTGCGCCTAACACTCCTCTCTTAATGTCCGCTAAAGAGGAAGACGAAAAAAAAAGTACAGCTCATGTTGTGGATCTACATGCATGCATGATTCATCAGCTAGCAATTCTAGCTATGTTAGCTCTGTCGTAGCTAAGCAGGCCGCCTTCACAGGCATCTCGTGTCATGTCACCCGAGAAAAACTAAGAGCCAGTTTAGTTTTCCAGAATTTTGCTAAATTTTTCAAGATTCTCCGTCACATTAAATCTTTGGACGCATGTATAAAACATTAAATATAATTAAAAAATAAAACTAATTACACAGTTTAGACGAAATCCACGAGACGAATCTTTTAAGTCTAATTAGATTATGATTGGACATTAATTGTCAAATAACAACGAAAACCGCTACAGTGCATTTTGCCAAAATTTTTTTGGCATCTAAACAAGCCTAAAACCAAACCGGTGCGCACTGCGAAACAACGAGATTCACGCGTGTAGTGCAGGCTAAACCAAGGCAGCAGGTCCCTCCTGTTTCGAGTTCCTTCGCCTCCTGCGTTTCCATCCACATGCAGCGTCAGTACCTGGACAAGGACCAGAGCACCGAGACAAAGCAGATTTTCTTCCATACCCGCAAGTGACCACACACCGAGTGCGATGTGACACACAGTCACACACAAACAAGAGGGGCATTTGTACTCATGTCTTGCTAAAAACTCTCAAGAAAAGGCCCTGCAAACTACGTATTATTTTACATGCATGAGTGGTAGCCTTCATTGAGGTTAAGTCCAAATCCAAACCAACTGTGTCGTGGTCCAGGCCCGTGAGCAGCATTCAATTCAAAGATCGATCCGTATTCTCAGCCCACAGTTAAATTCGAATAAATTTTGCCACCAACTTGTACAGAACAAGCTAGAAAAAGGGCACTACAGATAACAGATTCAGTGGGGCTCGGCTCATGCTCTTCCACGTGCAGATACCCACTGGCCACCAGTTACAATCATTCGAATAAAATTTGCCACCAGCTCGTATCGATCGCAACAGATTCGTGTCCCATGTGCTCTGTTCTTCTTCTTCCCTCTTGGCGCGCGTCGGCGAAGGAAATGGCGAGGCAGGCATCAACGACTGACGACTCCGTCCATTGCAACCAGTCCCCGTCGTCGATTGCCAAGTCAGTGTCCGGAGCGCCCCAAAGTCATGGTAGAAAAATGCATGTGTGATGGGCAAACCTCCAGCAGGTTAATAGCAAGACTTCAACTCTTGACCGCCACAAACACTTGTCCCTCTTTCTCTCTGTCTGTGTCACCGTCAACCAAAAAGCAACCTGTCAAAACATAATTAGCAGCTGAAAACAACACCACCTCAATCAATAGGATGCATATGTATATTCCAACCAATGTAACATTCTACTACTATCTGCTTCAGTAACTAACTAACCGTGCGTTTCATGGACGACAACGACATTACCGTGATGACGAACACCACTGCAGCTGGGCATGGCGAGCGCGCTGGAGACGCTATGCGGGCAATCCTACGGGGCGAAGCAGTACCACATGCTGGGGATCTACCTGCAGCGGTCGTGGATCATCCTCTTCGCGTGCGCCGTCGTGCTGCTGCCCGTCTACCTCTTCACGGAGCCGCTGCTGGTGGCGCTGGGGCAGGACCCGGAGATCTCGGCTGTGGCGGGGACCATCTCGCTGTGGTACATCCCCGTCATGTTCTCCTACGTCTGGGCATTCACGCTGCAGATGTACCTCCAGGCGCAGAGCAAGAACATGATCATCACCTACCTCGCCGTGCGCAACCTCAGCCTCCACCTCGTCCTGTCATGGCTCATGACCGTCAGGTTCCACCTTGGACTCGCCGGGGTCATGGGGTCCATGGTCATCGCCATGTGGATCCCCGTGTTTGGGCAGCTCGCCTTCGTCTTCTTCGGCGGCTGCCCTCTCACGTGGACAGGCTTCTCGTCTGCTGCGTTCGCTGACCTTGGTGCCATCATCAAGCTCTCGCTATCTTCTGGTGTCATGCTCTGGTAAGCCAGCATTAATGTTTCAGTACACGCATAAGTTTCATTCAGATAAGAAGAACACTCTGGAATTATCAAGATTCCCATGATATAATAATACATATATTCAGTCAATGCTCTGCTTTGCTGTTTCAGTTTGGAGCTGTGGTACAACACCATATTGGTGCTCCTCACAGGATACATGAAGAACGCAGAGATTGCACTTGATGCCCTTTCGATATGGTAATGTTCAGATCACTCTGCACTTCACTTGGCAGCTGTCATTCCCACTTTAGTCTTTCCACCATAATTGGCGTAACAACCCAAATAATAGCTGATGTCATTGTACTGGTCATGATATTCCCTTTGTGGTCACAAACAGCATAACTAAGGGGGTGCTGTACCTATTTACTAAATGTGCAGCCTTAATATCAACGGTTGGGAGATGATGGTTTCCATCGGCTTTTTGGCTGCAGCAGGGTACATAATCACTTCAGCTTTAGCCTTTTATTCATTTATTTATGTTGGACTTTCCACAGTTTTGAAGTTAACGCAATGTATCTTCAGAGTGCGAGTGGCAAATGAGCTTGGAGCTGGAAGTGCAAGAAGGGCCAAGTTTGCGATTTACAATGTCGTCATCATTTCTTTGTCGATCGGATTTGTGTTGTTTGTGCTCTTCCTTTTCTTCCGTGGAAGCCTTGCCTACATATTTACTGAAAGTCAAGCGGTAGCTAAAGCAGTCGCTGACCTTTCGCCTCTGCTAGCCTTCTCCATATTGTTGAACAGTGTTCAGCCAGTGCTATCAGGTATCCTTCTCAGTTCTACTGATGATAGAGACTGCTACACTGTACAACCTTGTTTTGTTGACACTAAAACGTCATTTCATCATTTATAGGTGTCGCTGTTGGTGCGGGCTGGCAAAGTGTAGTCGCATACGTTAACGTTACATCATACTACCTGATTGGCATTCCTCTTGGAGCAGTCCTGGGCTATGTGGTGGGGCTTCATGTAAAGGTGAGATGTAGAGTCTGGTATTACCATTGTGTCTAGTGCAATCTCGGCTTTAAGTTGTTCCTCACTCTTCTTGGCGGTTCAACATATCAACAACAGGGCATTTGGATCGGAATGCTGCTCGGAACACTAGTCCAAACTATTGTGCTTCTCTTCATAACATTAAGGACCGACTGGGAAAAACAGGTTTGTCCAGTGCTGTGCTTAACAAATTGCAATATTCACTTAGAATACGTGGACAGCTACAAGGGGCACAATATGCTGAATTATTCTGAACCCCCTATCTGCAGGTGGTGACTGCTCAAGAGAGACTGAAGAAATGGTACATGGAAGAGAACAGAAGAATGCAGGCCTCGAGGAGAAATCCTTGAACTGGCCCTGCTTTGCAGGTTGTTAATTGACACATTTACTAGGCACCTTGATTCTATTCACCATCTCAAGATCAAAATGAGGGCAGATTGTGTGCTCCTCAAGCCAAGCAATGGAAGGCACTATCAGCAGCAGTAGAAAAAAAATATTGTGTTATTGGCCAGTGGCAGGGTATATGTGAGAGAGACTATGTTGGCTAAGTCAGAGTTTGGCTCAATTTTGTGCGTATGCTAATGTTCTCATCAGAGCAGTGGTTGAGGTTTGGGATATCCATAACTGTAACTGACTGTATCTGTAAATTTTCTTATGATTAGTTGGTGTTGGGCATGTGAATCCATTGAGCTCTTGTTCTAGTTTACCTACCTTTTGTTGACTTCAAATCTGTAATCCTACTTATTTCGGCCAAACGAAATGGATGAGCATGGTGTGCATAGGTTATTTGTTTTGCAATCTGGCACTCCAGTGTTGATTTCAAATCGAATCGGATCAATTTTTTGCATAGTAGTAGAACTCACAACTGCACGGCACTGTGATTCAACCCGAGACAGATTGAGGCAATGAGCAAGCAAAATAGAATGCGAGATAGGAGGGCATGAGAGGACAGGAGAGGAGAGGGGAGGAGACGAACCCAGGTGAACCGCCGGCTCGTCCGCTAACGTCGCCGGAGCGTTGCCTACTCCCCTCCTCGATTTCACCCGTGGCTGCAGATCGACGCCCGTCCGCCGTAGTCTAGGGCTCATCCGCCGCCGCCGCAAGCAGGAAAAGACGGCAAAGCTTGTCACGCGTCGATCTGCCGGCTGGGCAACTGAGTCCATGAAACTGACACCATGGTCCCATGCTTCTAGTGGTGGCTGATTCAGCAGGGTCCACACTTTGGGCCCACACGCCAGAGAGAGGAGCAGGAGCTCCGGTAGTGCGAGTACCACCCACACGAACACATCACACCTCACCCTTTCCGTCGCGTCACAGGCCACGGCGGGCGGCGGCGGAGGCTTCCGTGCGGGCTCTTGCCGGATTCAGCGGCCAGTTGAGGTGCCCCGGAGGTTCCCGGTTCCAGCCGTCCCTACGTAGACCCTGCTTTCCTCTCGAACGAATCCAAGTTGCGCAAATGCCGACGCCGGTGAAGTCGGTTCTCCCCGTGGTGCTCCTCGGCTGCGGCGGCGTCGGCCGCTACCTCCTCCGCCACATCGTCTCCTGCCGTCCCCTCCACGCCAATCAGGTATTGCTCCTCTCCTTCCCCGTGCCCGCGGGTACGTCTGATCGATTCGGCGATCACTGATTCACTGGCTCTGGCTGCCGATAGGGCGTGGCCATCCGGGTGGTGGGCGTCGCCGATAGCTCCTCCCTGCTCGTCGCCGAAGATGTCCACTCCACTGGACTCGATGACGCGCTCCTCACCCAGCTCTGCGCCGCCAAGTCCTCCGGCTCTCCCCTCTCCTCCCTGCTCGGCCGAGGTGGACAGACATTCCCCCATTTGATTTTGCCCGTTTCAGATGTACGCGCTCCATAGTTTTCGTTGACATGTAGAATGATAGTTACTTGGATGTGCAATTTCAGGGCACTGTCAGCTGTTCAAGAACCCTGAGGCCAGGGTCAAAGTCATAGACGCCGCTACCACACTTGGAAGAACAACTGGTTAGTTGTTCTGTGCTCAACTGCACATACATATTCTGATCTTCCAATCAGTAGAGCATAAAAAAAGCTTACATGCTTGGTGTTTTTTCTATATAGATTCAGCTGTGTTTCTGATTTTAACACAAGTCACATCTCATCATCACACACCTATTCTCAGGTCTGGTGCTAGTTGACTGTTCTGCCACTTATGACACTGTTAGTCTGCTGAAAGATGCTGTGGATCATGGATGCTGTATTGTATTGGCAAACAAGAAACCTCTTACCGGTGCTTATGTAATACTATTTGACTTACTCTTCTCTGATAATAGTCTTTCCTAATGCCGGAATCGCACTGTCTCATGTTGTTCAACAAAGAGTTGTCTGATTAGTTAACAAATACATTTGTTGCTGTTGCAGGAGGATTTTCAGAAGTTGGTCTCCAACTTCCGTCGGATAAGATTTGAATCTACTGTATGTTTGTGTTTGGTTTTTTGTTTCTAGTTTGATGCTTGTACATTTGTACAAACTGCTGCTTTGCATTTGTTCTAACTACTGCTGTCCATGACCAAAGTTTTGCTGTTATGGTTTATATCTCATAACCTTGCCTTTAAAACATTGAATGCACTGGTGTATAAAGAAGTTAGCTATATTGTTGCAATTCCATCATTTCAATCTTTGCATTGAGATAATTTGTACTGGTTCGTAACATTTGCTTGACATCAGAAGATAACAGACATATACATGATAGGAGTCAGGACATACATATAAGACATTTCTATTTCACATTTTTCTCTCCTTTATTATGGTGTTTTAACTTTCACTTAGGTTATACTTTCAGGTTGGAGCAGGTTTGCCTGTGATAGCTTCTGTAACCCGTATTTTTGCATCTGGAGATCCTATTTCTCGTATTGTTGGCAGTTTGAGTGGTATGCAATTATTAGTCTATTTTTGTAAATGGTGACAGTTTAAAGATAAAATATTACAAGTTTTTCCTTCATATGGGTTTGTAGGTACACTTGGGTATGTGATGAGTGAGCTTGAGGATGGAAAGAAATTTAGTGAAGTCGTAAAAAATGCCAAGTCTCTTGGCTATACAGAACCAGGTCTTGCAGATATCTTGTGATATATTTTCATCGCAATTAATTTCTAGTAGATCTTGTTTGTGAAGCGGAGCTCAAACAAAATACTCTACTAATATGAATGATCTAAGCACAAGAAACACAACCATATTATTTATTGCTTTACCTGTTTGCAATATGTATTTATTGAAGTGTTTATTTTTGCCAGATCCACGTGATGATCTTGGTGGAATGGATGTGGCTAGAAAGGTTAGATACCTCACAATTTCGCATTCAATAAATTGTATTCTGTTTCTTTTCCTTGCCCAAGTGAACTCTTGTGTATTGCATGAACTGCTGCAGTGTTGAGTTTATTTGTGTCCTACTAGAATTTGATGTGAAAAATCATGTAAACATAAACATTATCACAAACTGGTCCACCTGTTGAGGTAGGTTGTGCTGTCCAGTGTTCATATTCGAATCTAATACCTTCATCTTTGAATGCAGGCGTTGATCCTGGCTAGGCTTCTGGGGCAACAGATAAGCATGGAGAATATCAATGTATGCCTGTCTGTACTAATTCTAGAGAAGTTGAGATTTATTATTTTATTATTTTAGATTTTAGACATGGTGCTCTGTACACTGGGTGATATTTTCACTGTTATTGGTTATAGCTATGGGTGTGCTACTTCGCTGTTAGTTTGGCTGTTCAATGCTAACAATAGTAAAGTAGTTTCTGGGCAAAGTAATCCTGTTTACATATTGTGCTTGTGGAAGGTCTGCCTCCTATTCATTTAAATGATTACATGGAGCCATCTTTTAGGCTTCTGTCCTGATTTACTGGTACATAGGTCGACTTGTCTGAATTTGTTACATCAATTGTATGCTGATATGCTAAATCTGTAAGAGTAGACTAAATGGTTCCATGAACTTGTAAAGTTGTCATAGAGCTGATTGATTGCACCACTTGTTTCTTGTGGTAGCTGTCAATTTGATTCCTTTATATGTCATGAGAGCTTTTCTTTTGACTTTATATGGTACAAGGGAGCTATTAATTTGAGTATATGTATTGATATCATTAATATTATGCCCTACAGTCAGTGACTCAGTTACACTGAAGATTTTGTATTTCTCTTCGCCTCAGGTTGAGAGTTTATTTCCCAGTGAATTAGGACCTGATGCAGTGTCCACAAAAGACTTCCTTGAAAGTGGTTTAGTGCAACTTGACAAGAGCATGGAAGAAAGAGTCAAAGCAGCATCTTTGAGAGGAAATGTTCTTCGCTACGTCTGTGAGATTGAAAGCACAGGGTATGCATCCAGTCTAGGCCCTGGTGTGATAGTACTGTGCAATATCCATTAGCATAAAAAAAATTAATCTGTTTTCTGAAGCTACAACATGGTTTATTCATGTTGTCATTGTTCTAAAAACTCGTTCTCTGCCACTCGTTTACTTGTTTGGAACTTCTTTCTGGTTGTTTTTTACATGGTGCTGGCTGCTTTTCAATCTTTCTGTTGTCTAACACCCCAGTTTGCAGGTGCCAAGTAGGCCTTAAAGAGCTCCCAAAGGATTCTGCACTGGGTAGATTGAGGGGGAGTGACAATGTGGTAATGTCACTCTTCTTTCTCTTATTTTGTCTCCCTTCGTTTGATCATCCTTGTATGTCACCACAGACTGTTGGTTCCTATTCATAGGCAGTAAACATGTTTTATCATGAATGTCTTTACGAGCACAATCTCACTCTAGAAAATACTTTTTCTCCTCTCATCAATGCATCAACGTCCCAGCTGTCATTTGGTTATCCCTGGTTTGAGATTTTACAAAAAAATGTTTTCTGTGCTGCGATCAGGTGGAGATATACAGCAGATGTTACCAGAGCTCCCCTCTGGTGATCCAGGGCGCAGGAGCTGGCAACGACACCACTGCCGCCGGCGTCCTTGCTGATATAACTGACCTCCAAGACCTGTTCCAGACGACGGCATGATCGTTGATCGGCATCCAACACCATCTTGATTCTTGCAAGGCACCAGGGCGTTTGGTACTCTGATCGGTGGTACTGTGTGTCCGTCAGGGACTCGCGTGTGCTTTTGGTTGTTCACTTCAGTCGTGTGTGCGTGCATTTGGTTCCTTCAGCCGCTCAACTGTACGGGCATGTTGTCAAGCTGAGACACGTCTGGCATTCGAATAGGATTTGAATTTTGAGCAAGCATGTGGGGGGGTTCTTTACAGTTTACATAGAGGAAAGCTTTGTTTCAGTGAAATAATGTCGCGGTCTCTACATTAAACAGTCAGAGTGATGTTGCTGCTATCTGATAGTGATAGACTTTTGATTCGAGCAGTTCTGGTTCTGGATGATGTATCGTGAACTCTGCACTTTGCCGTGCACGCCAGCACAGTATATATAGGTAGCCTGAAATCATGGCCAGTTTGTCAAACATTTTTCTTGGTTGTATTGTACGCGATTCTACAGGACTTGCAAGACAACTGACCATTGTCTTCGCAGCCGGCAGCCGGCAGCCGGCCGGCGGGCAGATGGCGGCGCTTTTTGCCGTTGCCAGTGCCCCCCGCTGCCCCGCGCAGGTGCAGTGCAGGGAAAGCCCTGGCAGGTGGGGCCGTATGGTGGTTGGTGGGCCCCACCTCTCTCGGGCACGTTAACGTTACCCGTCCCCACGGGCCGCGGAGCGAGATGAAATTTGAAATTGGGAGGAAGCAGACCACCCCAAATCCATCCTAGTTGCTCCTGCTCGTCTAGTCGGCAGGCCGCCAATCAACCCGATCGATCCAATCCGCCGATGGCCGCCGCCGCCGCCGCCGCCGAGGATGCGAAGGAGAAGGAGCTCCTGTCGTCGGTGGTGGGCGACATCCGGAGCTACTCCGGCTCCGACCCTCTCCGCCCGTGGCTCCGGTACGGCACCCGCACCCACCGCTTTTCCTTCCTTCCTTGCCTGTTCTCCGCCTCCCCGCATCGCTTCCTTCGCCCCACCGATCGGTTGATCCGCCCGCCCGCTGTTGTCTGCTAGGGGGATGCGGAAGATGGAGCGGGCGCTGCCGCCGGCGACGCTGCGGGAGAAGCTGCCCAGGTTCCTCCAGAAGTGCGCCCAGGAGTTCCAGGACGACGCCCGCTACCGCGACGACCCGCGGTACCTCCGCGTCTGGATCCAGCTGGTCAGCCACCACACTAGCCATCCTTAGTCTTCCCTTGTTGCTGCTGACTTCTTGTGCTTCACTGGGGATCGATCGAGAGATGACGGCGGTTGATACTTCGATCGGTTGGGGGCTTTGTGGGTTTTAGGAGCGAACTCCAGAATCTGCACCTGTTCAATCAATTGAATTTTCTGTCTGATGTATATGTATTGACATCAAGATACTACTTTTTGTTAGCTAGATCATACCGTAGGGTGTAGATCTCATCATATCTTAGCATGAATGTTGTCATCGACTAAAACAGTGCCTCACTGGAAATTTGTAATGTAAATAGTGCTACGGTGGCTCTTGAGGAAATGACTAAACCATATTCAGCTTGATTTCTTTTTGGATCCCTTGTTATTGTTATAAGAAATGATCTTATTAGGTTTTTAAATCCTGTAGATGGACTACGTGACGGATGCAAAGCCATTGCTCAAGAAGATGGAAAGGAATGGAATAGGCCTCAAAAGAGCTTCATTCTATATGGCTTATGCACTATATTATGAGAAGCACAAGAGGTTCAATGATGCAGAGAAGATGTACCGTTTGGGATTAGAGAAGTAAGCTAAGCTCTTAATACCCCCACTACCAAGCCAACCCACCCACTTCTTTTTTATTTTAACTGGACACCACACATCTGCTATTAGAACTGTTATTGTTGTGCAAGCTCAATGCGCCGCCAACCTGAACAACTCTGTCAAAAACAGTAGTGCACGGTTATGCAATACTGAACAATTTAGTCAATTAGATAAGAAGGATTGCAAGTAACACTTCATGTTGAAATAGATCTCAGTTTGTAGTTCCTTTGATAGCAAAGCTGGTTTCTTACTGAAGTGTTTCATAGCCTTGCAGAGCCTATTGGGGAGTTGCACAAAGCACATAAACAGTTTAATTTTCGCATGGAATCATACAAGAGCAAAAATAAGGTATAACTCTCATTTCATTTGTTACTTAAGTTTAGATCATGGCCAATGCTAGGTTTGTTGACCTCCCTTACTTTATTCATGCGCTTTAGCTGCAGGAAAGAATGACTAGGAAAGCTGGGTCTAGTGCTACATCTATGAACCAAGTCAAAGGTAGGCCTGTGTAGAGAGGAGTACACAAATCAGTTCTTATAGTAAAAGAAACATACTTTTTCTTGTCAATCCATAGCTAGAACTTTCCTTTGCAAACTCATTTTCTGATTTAGTTGACACAAAACTATAATGGGTGATTCTTTCTCAAAATACAAGCATATGCTTCTTCATGCAGATCCGCACCTCGAACTTTCTTTTCCAAAGCACATTTCTGATTTTGGTGACACAATTATAATGAGTGAATTTCCCAGTGGTACTGACTTTTTGAACATGTTGCAGGTGAAAGCAGAAACTGTAAAGAACTGAAATCCAATACAAAGCAAACATCAGGAAGCAGTTCTAATCCTTCATTAGGCTCTTATCCTCCATTAGGACCGGCTAAAGTTGGTATGCTCTCCAGAGGAAACTCAGGAGCAAACAAGAATTTGTCCCGTTGTAATAGTGACGATACTGTAGTTGTACAGTTTATAGGCTCTGCTTTGGTTGGGAAGTCAGAGACTGAAGATGCCTGTCACCATGGCCTAGTTGAACCAACTATAAACACTAAGGAGGCTTTGGATGCCATCAATAGCATGTTTATGGAGCCACTGGAACCTGAAACTATTCTCAAGAGGCGATCAAAGCGTGAGAACCCAAATTATAATCAGCAAGCAAGTGCATTTGATATCTTTGTTGATGACGATGAACCTAGTGGCAATGATACAAATATGCTCCAGAACAACAGTGTGAAGCAAGACCATACAAAATTAAGTCAGCAAACAAGAGGATTTGAGGTCCTTGTTGATGAGGATGGTCCTAATGGCAACGACCAAAATGGAACGCAAAACAGGAACTCTAGAAAGGAAAACATGAGGTTCAATCAGGAACCAAGTGTGTTTGAGATCTTTGTTGATGAGGATGGCCCTAATGGCAACAACCAAAATGTGGGGCAAAACAAGAACTGTGGGAAGGAAAACATGGAGGTAAATCAGGAAAGCAGTGGGTTTGAAATCTTTGTTGATGAAAATGAGGCTAATAGCACTGCCCGGAATGCTATGTGCTACAAGAGTAATAGGTATCCTCCAAGACCATTATCTGAGTCATCTAAGCATCAAGGCGGAAGTGACTTCCAGAAGCCATTTGTTGGAGGGTTTGCAATATTGCCAGATGATGAAGAACAATGTGAGGAAAGTTATGGTGGTGCTAATATAATTTCCAGAACTATGCAGCCTACTCATGATACTAGTACTTTGCTCTGTCCAGTTCAAGGTAATTCAGGAACAAGGAATCGTGAAGGTCCTCATCCTGTGACTTCTGGGATTCGAGATGACACTGTCATTCGTAGGTTTGTTGGGTCCACTATTGATGATGAGCCTAAGGTGGAAAATGCATGCCACCATGGGTTAGTTGATCCAACTGTCAATCTAAAGGAAGCAATGGATGATATAAACAACATGTTTGGAAAACCACTGAACTTCAAGGGTGAAAGAACAAAGAGGAAAACTAATGCACAGTCAGATGGAAAAGCAGCTCCAGTTTCTGGTTTCTCCATATTAGCTGATGATGACCTAAAAGAGAACTCCACCAGCAAAGCCAGTCAGAGCAATTCCTGCAAATTTGGGGATGAGAATGGTCTATTTGAACCCACAATCACCACTCGTGATGTCATGGCAGAGATCAACAATATGTTTGGAATGCCACTAGACTTGTAAGATGCATGTGTAGAGTGAACTGAATAACTCAACTGCTAGTTGGATAACTGCTTTCACCTTTCAACTCTCCCCTTGAGAAATGTTAGTCTTGCTGATGTGAAGAGCATGGAATCTGTTCCCTTATCGGTGCATAGATGGTGAACATTTTCTTAAATTGTGGTCAAATGTTTATTGTTCACATTGATCAATCTTGAATATGTGGTATGCGTCTAATTTTGCCATTAAATTAAGTTGTCTAAAATATAACTGGAAAGTTGCTGCTTTGTTTTTGCTAGCTATATTTCTTTAACAATTACTCTGAAAATAGTATGTGGTTTGGTGATTGTTGGTGTGAAACCTTGCAACTGCACTGCTTCTCCTGGCACAGGTGGAGATCACAACAGAATGTAGATTCTCAGGTCGTTCAGCCGCAGAGCTCCATGAATATACTTCTTGTGGAGTTGCCACTTGCCACTAATATAATTTAACTTCTCAAGTGAAGGGAAGGGGGCGTAATTGTTACAGGGCACCAGGTGATTCCTGTTGTGCTGTCGCATAACGCCGATATAGTGATTTTGGCTTACATGTTGGCTCAAAACTATTTTTTTTTATGCTGAAAAAGCTGAGACTTGTGTATTTGATGGAAATTGTAGCAAGCATGGGTGCATATGTTGCTCTGTTCATCTTACATCCATAGTTCTGCTCATCAAAAACCCATTGTCTGATGTCCATTTTAATTGTTTAGACCATTCTAGTATCTCAGCATGATTAGGCTGCAGTTCAAGCACAACAAGAAAAAACTTGCCATGGTTGAGGTAGAGACAAACATCAGATTTAGCAGGTAAGAGCAACTCCAACGGTTTTGCAAATGGGCTTGGCATTCTTGTTTTTGGAAAAAACTTTAAAAATCTCCTTTCCAATGGTTTGGCAAATGGGCTTGGCATTTCTATTAACTTGGCAAAAACCTGGGATGGACTCACATATATGCGCGCTTGCGCTCGGCTTCGCATTCCCTCTCGCGCGCTTCTCCCGCGCAATATTTCCCTCTCGCGCGCATGGACTCGATGGAACCGAGTGCTGCTCCTGATCAAACTGAATGTTGTTGCTGACAATTGATAACGACAAACTGAACGCTGCTGCATCCATGTCAGGTGATGCGACACATAAGATAGCCTGCTGCCGGCAATTTGATGGAAACCAAGCACTGTACAGCATAAATCAAATTGTGACGTCCAGGATCAAATTGTGTCTTGCCGAGACTATGGAATTAACACATATGTTAACACAAATCACTTAAAAAGAAATATCGAATACAGAAATATGAAACTAAATTGTTCATTACAATTGATAACGCAAAGTGTTCAGTACACTTAAATGAAAATGCTAAGAAATTGAAACTAAATCACGATGCTGGTTCCATAGGATATAGATCAGGATGATGGTTCCATAGGTGCTCGATGAGGTCTTCTTTCAACTGGAAATGTGTTTCCTTGTCTCGGATCTTTTTATGCGCTTCAATAAATTCAGCTAGTGTGCGAGTAGAAATGCCATGAGAAGGTTGCACATTTTCACCACCATAATCGAATCTCTCATCAGGGTCCACATCTCTTTCATCTTCAACAATCATATTGTGCATGATGACACAAGCCCTCATGATCAATGCTAGCGTCTCTGTGTCCCAAACGCGACCTGGTTGTCGAACAATGGCAAACCTAGATTGAAAAGCCCCAAAAGTTCTTTCAACATCCTTCCTCATTTGATTCTTGCGCTTTGGCAAAGTATTTCCTCTTGTTACCCATAGGAAGAGAGATGGACTTCACTAAAGTAGCCCAGGGGGGATATATACCATCGGCGAGATAATAACCCATCTTGTAATCGTGACCATTAATGGTATAGTTCACCTCTGGAGCAATACCTTCCGCCAGGTTGTCAAATAATGGAGACCGGTGAAGGACATTGATATCATTATGAGACCCAGGCATCCCAAAAAATGCATGCCATATCCAAAGGTCATGAGACGCATATGACTTCTAAAATGATAGTTGGCTTGTTCACATGCCCTTGTAATCGACCTGCGATTCAACTGGACAATTCTTCTATGCCCAATGCATACAATCGATAGACTCTAACATTCCAGGAAACCTCTTTTCTCATTGAGTGCCGAGAAGCGTGCTATATGTCACCTCATTGGGATGTCTCGGTATTCCGCTTCAAATATTTCAACAACTGCAAGAACAAACCCACGTAGGCTCTCAAGTGCGATTGCTTTCGCCAATGCGAACGCGTACTCATCTCAGAGCATCGCCAGGAACCCCATATGTGAGCATACGAGAGCGGCGGCAGTGACTTTTTGGAAGCAACTCGGACCAAGCACACTGTCGCATCCCTTTTACGCACAAAGTAATAATCATGTGCTTCAACAAACATTCATGATGCGAGGAAAAGATCCCTATTCATTACGAATCGAAGAAAATGAAAAAAGTTCAACACCTCGTATAAAAATTTAACAAATACTATGAATTAATCTGAGGTGAAAGAACAACAACCTCCGACGGAATAAACTGGACCATACGTCGGATTATCCGCCAAATAATCTTGAAACATCCTCTCGGTGGCCGCCTTCTCTATCGCGATAAATAACAAGATGGCCATGGACCGAACCACCGGGTCTTCTTTTTTATTCCAAAACATGTGCACAATCCGAGTAGCTGTGAAGATGAAGTAATCATCGTAAATCGAAGAATCGTCATCCAATCGTCTTCGGAGACGTGATCCGAGCCCCTCATCCGTCGAAATGACAATTGCACATTTGAGAACAATTGCGCATCTCGAGAACATCCAACAAAATACGATAGGCTCTGCTGCAAGCTATTCATCTCTGAAGCACAAACCTTGAGATTTGCAGGCACGCCCGGCTTGATGTAGTCTCCAGCAACCTGGAATCCATCTTTGGCTTCACAGGCACGGTGGTCGGGTCACTCTGGCGGGATGGTGGCGTTCAAGATGGTGGAGGCGCACCGTTGTCGGGCTACCTCTTTGGAGGCAGCTCGGCAGCGCCAGCGACATGTGAGAAACTCCCACGACGGCGCGAAGAAAGCCCCGCGAGATCGAAGTCCGCGCGAAAGGAAAAAAAATCACGGGAAATAGTGTGGGTCCACAATTTTCGTTTTGCCAAGTGAATAATGGGGAACCGTTGTAGATTGATTCTTTTTACCTTTGCCATATTTATTTGGGAGTTGGCAAACTCCATGTTTTGCCAAACAAAAAATGCAAAACCGTTGGAGATGCTCTAAGTGTTGCATCGTATATGTACAGCTTCAACAGGCATCAAAATCAGAGAACTGAAGATGACGACGACGGCCTAACTGAAAGCCTGAAACCTAGCGGCCGATGCTGAGCTGCGCCAGGCGTGCGGCGATGTCCGCCGGCGCCGGCGCCGGCGCAGCCTCGTCCCTCGCCACGCGCAGCCTCGCCAGCCTCTCGGCGACGCCATCGACCGCCGCGACGGGGCTCACCATCGTCGACGACGGGGAGGCGGAGATAGCCCCGCAGATGGCGGCGCACGCGGCCTCGTCGGCGAAGCAGAGCGCGAACTCGGCGCCGGACTCGGGCTCCGCCCACGACAGCGTCGCGCCGTCCAGCCTCTCGAAGGCGTCGCCGGGGAGGATCGGGTACACCAACACGATGCGCCCCCGCGGCTGCTGGCCGTCGGCGTTGGGGCCCGCCGCGTACAGGACTAGGGACTGCCCCTGCGGGCGGAGGAACGTGACGTCGGCGTAGGCGGCGCCGAGGTTGCTCCAGTGGCCGCCGTCGCCGCCGCCGGGGAGGTGGAGGACCTGCACGGGGTATGCGCCGCCGCTCGCCATCCGACCGGTTCGATCTTGGGGGTAGGACGGCGGAAAGGTGCAGGGCTGCAGGGGAAATATTGTCGTCCGGTGCGTCTGATCTCAGCCGCTTGTTTTCCATCCGACGTTTGCAAATCATTTTATTTAAGGTTGTGGTCTTTTGTGTGATACTAAATCCGTTCCAAATTTTTAATTCGTTTGACTTTTTTAGTTCAAAAATTTATGTAAAATATCATTTCTTTTGTCGTGGCTTTCTTTATTAACAAAAGTTATTTAAGAATGACTTAAATTTGACTATGTTTGCATAATTTTTTTTTGAATAAGACGAGTGGTCAAACATGGAGTCAAACGAATTATAATTTGGAACAGAGGGAGTAGCAAATTAGTAAAATCTTTACTCTATTTTACTATGCATTTAGATATAATATATGTCTAGATACAAGCAAATTCTATTAAAAAAAGTCAATACGACTTGTAATTGGGAAGAGAGAGTAGTTAAATTCAAACCATCAAACCTGGAATTAATAATTAGAATAACCAAATCATCAGCAACCACAAACTCTCTAAATTTCATACGTTTCATTTAACCAACATGGCTACGTGTTTGTTTGCTAATGAAAAACATGTAATAGACACAGTCGCGAAAAAACACATTTTCTACGTTTCAATCGTTTGGTTTTGGGCAACGTTCAGGTGATGCACATGCGATTTCCTCTTTCCCGCGCACGTCTTCCTTCTCTTTGGCGTGACGTGGAACGGCGGCGACAGCGGGCTTTTAGAGATCTTTGGTGACCTTAGACAAAGAAGGGACCTAGGGGTAGGTGCTCGGACTGGCATTGATGGCAGGTTGGCCGATGGGGAACCGCCAAGGGGGCGAGTAGGACTCATCCGGATAGAAAGTGTCAGTGGTGGGGGTGAGGGCTCGACAACGAATTCGTGGGTTGGGATTAGGGGTGGGCGGGGTCGGCGCGGTGGCGACGGTTGGTGGGCGGCGCGGCGGCGGCGGGAGAGCCACTGGTCGAGGTGGTTGGGGAGGTCGACGGCGGGAGCGGGCTGGTGCGCGAGGATGAAGAGAAACACTGTGTGGATTTAGATTAAGGGGAGGGCGGGGTTGGCGATGGCGGCGGTTCGTGGACATCATGGCGGCGGCGCGGGAGCCGTTGGCTAGGGTGGCGGGGGAGGTCTGCCGCGGGAGCACCGTTGGAGCGGTTGCGTGAGGAAGAAGATGAATATTGTGCGATCTAATCTGGAGCGTTCGTTTTGTATCCAACGGCTATCGATCGTCGCCCGAAAAGAACACAAAAATCAGGCGCATGAAGAATAACAATTCCCCTAAAAAGGGAATTACTAGCGCCTAGACGTCCGGAGCGCGTCCGAACGCCCCGCGCATGCTGCAACCCTACCCGTGCGCCACGCCTGCCACTGTGTTGTATCGTTGCTGCACGCACAGGTACGTCCCTCGTCTGCCTCACCCCGTCCTTGTCCGCCTCACCATGCCCCGCATGCGCACCCTGGCTACGCCCACCACTCCTTCCCCCTGAGCCCCTCCTCTCTCTCCACGCGGGCGGGAGCTGAGAGCCCAGATGAGGACGAGCACGTCCCATCCACAGGACCCAGGGCGTGCCGTGCGCACCATCTACCGGCTCGCCGTGCCCCTTCGCCTAGCGCCCGGGCCATGCCCCATGACTCTTTGAACATACGTCTGAAACACGAAACATTTGCAACATGAAACACTAGAATGCAACATAAGTCTGAAGCAGATGAAATATTTGGAATGTACACTTGAAACATGTGTCAAACATATGCAATATCCATATAAAACACTTGCAACATGAAAACACTTACTGCAACATAAGAGTGAAACAGCTGAAACATTTGAAACGTACTCTTGCAACATATGTGTGAAACATATGCAACATCTAGATCAAAACGCTTGCAACATACGTCTAAAACGGATTAAATACTTTGAACAAATGCTTGCAACATGTCTCTGAAACACTTGCAGCATATGCAACATCCCGATCTACATTTACAACATCCATATGAAACACTTGCAATATACCTCTTAAACACTTGAAACATACGTTTGCAACATGCGCTTTCAGCGCAACATTTCCTTGCTCCTTGGGAATGGAGGCTCGTCGGCACGTGGAGTTCACCGGTGTAGAGCTCACCGGTGGTGTGGAGCTCCCTGCTCCGGTGGAGAAGGCAGCGATAGGTCCCGTGGAGAAGGCTGCGGTGGGTCCGCGCGCTGAAGAAGGCCGCGGCGGGTGGGATGCGCGGTGGAGAGGGAGGAAGATGGGTTGCCGTGCTCTGGTGTAGAGGAGATGTCGACCGGCGGAGTGGAGGCGCGACGGAGAGGGAGGCGTGGTGGAGAGGGAAGCACAGTGGAGAGCGCCGTCGTCGAGGCGGCGTGGCGGAGCGCGGTTGCGGAGAGCTATCGCGGCACTGCGGTGAGGTGAGTTTTTTCTTTTTTTTAGAACCGTTGGGGGCGAGTGGATGAGGAGATAAGAGGCGGTCGTCTGGCTGCATCGCGACCCACCATCAACACCGTTCGGGCGGACGGACGCCCTATACCCAGCATTACCGAAAAAATGGCTACTTGTTTGCGGTTCCTGACTATTGATGATGAGAACTCCTGCACCTAATAAGAATGGCTTCTCAAAACAGCGGCACCTGTGCCTCGTTCGTGGTTTTGCAGGACCAAAAAAAAGGAGTGAAGAAAAAAAAAACAGTACAGTAACTTTGCAATTGCTTTTCTCGGTTATTAGTGGAGTGGTAACAATTAAATATACCAACCAACAAAAATTGGAATTAGTCATTTTGATCAAATGGGTCTTCTTCAAGAAACAGTGCATGAAGCAGGAGGGTTGTTAGACTTAGCCCTGGCATAACACTGTTCATGCATTATTTCCTACTCTGATTTAATAAAGCAGACTAGAAATTACTCTATGACATAACACAAAACTATGGCCTATGGGTGCCCAGCCCGACGAAGATGCTGCACAATTGGAAGGTTTTGTAATGAACGACCCAATGGAGCTAGCTAGGGCCACCACATGCTAGTGAAACAGTCACAGTTATGTGACCTCGAAGTCCGAAGAGCCAGGTCCCTTGTACAGTATATACATACAGGGGTTCATACTTGGATCTTGAGCAACCATAAAAAACGATAGCTGAAGACTTACATGTTATATTAATTATCCTACCATATCTATCGATCCAATCCTTTTCATACACGACAGCGCACATGCTGTCTCAGAGACTTCAGCACTGATTGATGATCACAGCACAAAACACACAAAGGCACGAGCTCAATCTCGCGAACCCCACGCGACTTGCGAGCAGGGGCGCCTACTGGAAACTACGAGTTTCCCTACGGTTTTCGTTGTTCCCTACGGTTTTCTATCAGTCCTAAGTTTGATCATACTATGTATTTCTGATTATACTGATGTAGCATCTTTAAATCCGTCTTCTGATAATGTAAGTTTGATCATACCATGCTGACAAATAGAAATGTCTGCCATAGCATCTATGGTCCCGATCGCTTCGCTGAAAAAACAAGCTGAAACACTATTTCAGCTGATTTGTTGTAAAAGAAAAACATTGTTCCGACTAAAAAGACAAGCCGAAAAGTATGGATTATAAGACAAGCGAACAGGGCCTATATGTCCTGTACACATGAATGCATCCTGATTTTCAATTTCCATTACATGGTCTGCTGCCTTTTGTCTTTTATTAATGTTAATTATTGTACACATCTTAGCTAGTCTAGTGAAACCTATTTTCAAATGCTACGTCCTTGAACCTGTTTTTGGCATAGCATTTCCCGTGAAATTTACACTTATTTAATTGAAATTCTATTTGTTTAATTGAATAGGCTTGTACTGGTGGCTCTTCTATTGAAATAGAAATTAACTCCTGATGAAACATTGAGTAGGATTGCTCAGGGAAGATTCCGTGGCCATGAAAATGCAGCGACTACAAGTGGTGGCGGCAACTACTCTCCTCCTATGGACGAGTTTCCATTTTTCTAACATCTTTTGTTGGCAAAACATGGCACTTATGGTCTGTCGCCAAAACATGGCACCTATGTTGTGTTGCCAAAACAGATTGGACAACTCCTTTTGAGTTAGTGTTTAACTGTTAGCTAGACTTTGCAGTTATTATTAGTGAACACCCTAATTGTAATGTGATAATGCACTGTTTGAGTTTGAATGCACTAAATTATTGCTGATGGTACGGTGTCAACGAGTTTTGATTTGAAATTTGCATTTGAATTAAATTACAATTATTTGAGGCCAAATCAAATGTCATGCAGAAATATTTCCCTAGAGATCAATTTCCTAGGGAATGGAACTTTCCACCTAGGATTAGTTCCCTAGGAATGCCAAAGTTCTAGGGAAAAGAACTTTACACGCTGGATTAGCTTCAGTATAGTCAGCAGGTTTCCTAGGGTGCTATTTTCCTAGGGAAACAAGAATCTGCTATAGTTTATAGGTAAAACCGTAGGGCACTCTCTTATTTCCCGTCGAAGTGTTCCCTACGAATTTTTCCCTACAAAATACCATAGGGGATCAGGTTCCCTACGGTTTTGGGCCTTTTTCCTAGGAATTCAAACTCGAAAACTCGTTGTTTCCAGTAGTGGCCGCAGCTCCTCCGCCTCCACCACCGCTGGCCCCCTCCCTCCTCCCTCCAGCATATCGTCGGGGGCCAAAGGGAGTGGGGATCCATCGTTTTTAATAAGTTTTTTTAGTAGATTGAGTCCTTAGAGTTAGAGTCTCTCCATGCCAAGTTTCTTGGTTTTAGGGATTTATCTTCTCCTCCTTTCTGGTGACGGCGAGATGGTAGGGTGTAATCGTTTTCTCCATGGCAGCTCTGTTGAAGATGGGGGCGACAACTACGGCATCAACATCCTCACTGGCGGTATAACGACATGGAGACTTTTATTTCCGGACGGCGACATCAAGGCAGAGATGGTGTTGCCGCCTTGGAATAATTTTCTCCAGTCTCTTCTCTAT